TATATATATATATATATATATATATATATATTTACATATATATGAAATGTGTGAGTGTTCTTTTAAAGTAGATTTAGATACAGCGACACTTTGTTTTAATTTGTTAAGGGATGCGGTTACTGAAACACAAACTATTATAACAGAGATTTTAGAAACACATTACATTTATGTGTTTATCCTGAAAGGCAACAAACACACCGAAAACAGGTGGCGATGCTGCCATCTAGTGGGGAGTTTAAAATTGTAAATGAAAAAATAACTAAAAATAATAATGAAATAAGAGTCTGAGCTCTGCACTAACGCACAAACTGGCACACAACACAACGCAGCATTTCTTTCTATTCATTTGCTTACTTGATACACATCCCAATTTTTCTCATTTAGTTTCTTTTTTGTATTCAGCTTGTATCTCTCTACTACCTAGCAAGTAAATATCATCCTCTGGCGTAGCTGTAGGGGCTCTAACGTATGAATCTTAAATGATTGGGCATTTCCTGCTTTCTATTTATAGAAAGCAGCAGAAAGCAAATAAGCGAGGCTTACGTCAGGATTTGTCATTTATATTTAAGGTGCCAGCTCACAAACACACACTTGAATTCCTCTCTCCTCTCTCTCTCTCTCTCTCTCCATGTTACCCAGCTGCTCCATCCGTCCCATCCGCAAACCACGTGACCCAGTTCTCCAGTGTCCTTCAGCGGCTCATTCAGCATGATGGCTGCGGATGCTGCGGATGCTCTCTGCAGCATCCTGCATCCGCGCCGGCTCTCCCTCCTCTTTCTTACCGTCACCATCTCCTCCCTGCCGGCCAAGACAACGGCGCTGCTCGGCGTCCGGCCTGAAGACACCCAGAGCGGAGAACTGTCCGTGCAGGACGGGATATTGAGGGCTATCGAGGGGACCCGTTTCATGCTGAGGGTTTACTACTCCGCTTCTCCAGGTACCGAAAATCCCAACAGCCTGAACATCAGCGGCAGACCGGACGCAGCACCTGCCGCTCCGTGGATCGCGTTTATAGAGGAACCGGGTGGGGACAGTGGAGATGCAGAAAGTCCGCTTCTGTCCAGGGGGAATCCATGCGAAGAGGAGAATGCCCGGAGCTCAGACATCGAGCTGCTGGGTTCCTTCAGATCCACCTCAAGTCATAACTCAGTCTTAGTGGAGCTGCTCGCCAAAGACCTGCGCAGAGACGAGGTGATCAAATACTACTCCATGTGCGCGTTCGATGGAGTGAAATGGGAGCACTTGAGCACCAAAGACTTCTGGTTGGCGGTGGTGGAGAGACCTCCAGAGGCAGATGCTTGGCTGCAGGCAGGAGTCTCTGTGCTCTTGTTGGGGCTGTCTGCTCTGTGCAGCGGGCTGAATATTAGCATGCTGTCTCTGGACCCGGTCGAGTTGCGGGTCCTGCAGAACAGCGGCACAGAGAAAGAACAGAAATATGCGCGAAAAATAGAGTCAGTGCGTAAACATGGCAACTACATCCTTTGCACTGTGGTGCTGGGTAACGTGCTTACAAACACGTGTTTTGTGGTGTGGATGTGCCAGATCTTAGGAATGACCGCTCTCTCCACTGCCTCATGCACTTTGGGGATATTTTTTATTGGCGAGATTTTACCTCACTCGGTGGCATCCAGGCACAGTCTCGCCATCGCATCCAAGACCCTGTGCGCGACCCGCCTGTTGATGCTGATATTTTTCCCCATCGCCTACCCGGTCTCCAAGATTCTGGACATTATGCTGCACCAAGAGATCAGCAACTTTTACACGAGGGAGAAACTGGTGGCCATGCTGCGTGTCACAGACCCCTACCACGATCTGGTCAAAGAGGAGCTCAACATTATCCAGGGAGCCCTGGAGCTTAGGACCAAGACCGTAGAGGATGTGCTGACACCGCTGTCAGACTGTTACATGCTGTCCTCAGATGCTGTGCTGGACTTCTGCACCATGTCGGATGTGATGCAGAGCGGTTTCACACGCATCCCTGTTTATGAGAACGAAAGGTCCAACATTGTAGACATCCTTTTTGTCAAAGATTTAGCCTTTGTGGATCCTGACGATTGCACTCCTTTGAAAACAATTACTCAGTTTTACAAGCATCCCATGCACTGCGTCTTCAGTGACACCAAGCTGGACGTGATGCTGGAGGAATTTAAGAGAGGTAACTCGCTTCATTTTAAATCATATCAGAGGTTTGGTCTCTGCAGTCTCCATATCTCCCTGTGTGTCCTGTCTAGGACCTCTACACAACTTATGAGTAAGAAGTCAGCTGAGCATGTGAGGCGCCATATGTTTTAAAGCAACCTCCCACCAGTTAGGAGTTAAATGTTCTTTGAAGTGACTGTGCACTTAAGAACTACATTTTCAGTCCAGAAGTCAATGTATACATCAGCCCATTGGCTCAAAGTGGGCCAGCCAGTAAAGCCCTTTGATCTCCAGAGCAGTGAGAGACATATGTGAAATCTGATACTGTGTCACACAGTGTGTTTGGTTCAGCTAGAGTTTAGAGGCTACCATAATAGGGTTATCTTAAGAATTTATGTGATGAGAGAGATTTAAGTTGCCTTCCCATGACAACACTGTGAACTTCATCTGGCCCCAGGCTCGGTACCCCATTTCTATGCAAGTATCAGTTATCGGCTCCTCACTTAAAATGCTTGAAATGCTAAACTGTATCAAAAAAGGAATTTTGCACGATTTGCCTACACAAGAATTCATCTCTCTCTCTTCTCTGATAGCCATCTTTGCTGATAAGTGAATTGACAGCATTGCTGCACATGCAGTGATAACATCAGTTGACTATAGAGGAAAAGTGCATTGCCTCTCTTTAGGGACTATGTTCAGTCTTGATAACATTAAATATGATTCAGATTTAACGCTCAGTAGCGAAAACCTCTGACTCCTCGACTGAAAGTGTCACATTGTAAAATAAAGACACTGCCATAGCTGTTATGCAAGGAAATCTGTTTTATAGACAAAGAAAGGGCAATACATGTCTGCTGAATGCAGCTGGCCTTGGCAGGGTAAGGAATTATGTTGCCACTTACAGTTCAGGAGGTCCACTACACTTCACCGTGCCTGGGATTATGAAATATAGCTTTGGTCTGGCACAAGTGATCCATGAGCTCACACTTGACTCACATGTGTGTCGGCATCGCTTGTGTGTCTCTCTTGGGTGTGAAGCCTGGTTTCACCTTTAAATTATTTGTGTACACTTAATTGTCAGCCCACTGTGACTTTGAAGTTCCTTCCACTCTGTAGGTCATCGCCAACCAACTCTGCAGAGCAACCATGAAAAATTCAGCTCCAACCTTTCCCTTCCTCTCTCACCTCCCTCCGACTTTGCTTTCATGGCTAAAAGCCTCCTGCTGGTCAGGAAGCCTGGCTGGAAGCTGTGATGATGTCTTACTGAGATGGTTGGTGGGCAGAGGTGAGGTCTGTGTTAGAGTAAAGAATGGAAATGTCACCAGGAAGAAACTATCGTCTGCAAACATACTGTTGAGTGGAGAACTTAGCCATGCAGACAGTTAGCATTTTTCAGTTTTTCAGGCCTCATAAACATTCAAGTTGAAATAGAAAGATTCTCCAGTCTCAGCTACAATTATCTTTTTTATTTTTTTTTTTAAAGTTGTTTGGTAAAAAGGTGACAGAGCAAGTGAAAAAGATAATGCAATCAAACAAGTGAAAATCTATCAGACAAATATAAAAGTCTTTCCAAAATCGATAGCAAAGAAGCTGCTTTTCTTGTGGGTGTTCATGCTGAAGAGAACCCCCCTTTATGATTGCACAGCAACTCAAAAATGCTTTCCACAGTGTTCTTTAGGCATGTTTTTCTTTGTCAGCCATCAACAAAGAGAATACTTAATGACCACAACCTCAGACAATTCAACACGAGATACAAAATTCTGCAAACATCTAAAATAAAAAAGATGGAATGCACTTTACAAAAACATACAAAAGGAAGGCCGGGGGAGTCGTGGAAAGCAAATCCTAAGGATTGTTGAAATAAACATCAGGCTCTATCCAAATGAAAGAGGAAATACCAGAGAATAAAAAGAAACAGTTTATGAGTCAAAGCATACCACCTCATATGTCAAGCATAGTGGTATTCCTCTTATGGCTTGGGTGTCTATGGCTGCCAAATGAACAGGCACGCTGGCTTTTATTTATAACTGTCTATTTATTCATTCTGCTGGTGAAGGGCCAGGATAAGTAGCCTGCTCACTCTGAATCATACGCATCAAAACTCTCAGGGTGAATTTTTATCATGCAACAGGGCGGTTATTCTAAACACATAACAACAAAGAAATTTTCAGGGTGAAGAGGTGGGATATCCTTAGCTACCAATAAGCAGAATCAACTGATTCCTGAAGACCAGAAAAAAGATAGTAAGACTTCACAACGAGTATGGCTCGTTTGAAGATGGCTGCAGTAAAAGCCTGGAAAGCTTTACCATTGCACCTTCTTGTGTTTGTGGGTCAGAGCCTTCAGGCTGCAAAAGATTTTAAATATGACAATTATTATGTTATCGTTCATATTATTTGTGAACATCCAACCCTTGGAAAGTACACTATAAGAGGATTCCATTCTCAAACAGTTGGTTGTATATTGATGTAAGCCTGCTCAATGTAAAGCTAACACACGGCACTTGGCAATCAAATTGACTGAGCTGATGTACGAAACCTGAACAGAGCAGACTTCCATTTATACATTTAGGCTTTTGCAGCCAGAGTGTTTTATGCTGCTGTAAATATTTGATTTTTATTAGGAAAAGACAAGGTTATTATTCTTATATTATTCTTAAGTAATAGTAGCAACACCCCTATAAAAACACTGCATTCTAAATTTTACTAGAATGCATTAAAGATAATAGGTTTTTCCTTTTAATATTGCTTTTGGTTGAACTCTAAACAACATTATACAGAATTATAACACATTTATCGTGTGTGTGTGTGTGTGTGTGTGTATATATATATATATACACACATACACAGAGTAAAGACTTGTATCTAAAAACAGAGCCGAATAGATTCAATTACACATATTTTGTAAAATAAGCCATTTTAATACAGCATCATCCCTGCAACGACTCGATAGAGTGAATGTCACAAGAAGTCAACGCCGCAACTACACTACAAAAAATAGGCTCCGACTCAATTAACAAACCACAGAAGGTAGACACAGTTTAAGCCAACTGTTTTCATAAGCTGTTTGTGCACCAGTGTAGAGGAAAATTACTGCTCCGGAGACATAAAATGAAATATTTTATTCCAGATCTCATTACGGCTTTAATGCTGTGGTTAAATAAGCAGATAGAAATAGTTACAAACATATGCGCAATCTAAAACACAGTTTTCTAACATAGACTGATGGAGCCACAGAAAGTGGTAGAGCAGAAACGTTTTGCAAAAGGGACAACCATGGAGGACCCAGTTTTGCTCCGGGCATGTGTGTCTGCGTGTGTGAGTAAGTGTGCGTCATTCTGCAAGAGTATTATGTAACATATGAATGATGTAATGCGGTGCCCAGGCACATCAGCAGCTGAGAGCAAATCCGTAGCTGACTCACCTGAGCTCTGCAGAGACATAGACCTGAGTGAGTGCAACCTCACCACCTCAGTCAATCCCTCACAACCCAGAGGTTCATGTTTGGATATGACTGCCAGTCAGTCAATCAGATTTTTTTTTCTCTTGTTGCTGTGGATTAAAGCATTTGATCCATTTTATCCCTTGGCGGTGATCCCCTAAATCGGCCCATCTTATTTGAGCCACAGATTTTATTCAAAGTGAGGCTGGAGACTTTTTTTTATGTGTCTGTTGGAACCTGTGGTCTAGTGACATCATTTTGATTAGGTAACTTATTTGGTCACCAGACTAACTCGCGTTGATGAAAGCAGAACAGACTGATGAGTTCAGCATATTTCAACATATCTGATTTTTAAGTGAGTGGAACAGAAAATAATGATAATAAAAAAAATATCAATATAGAGCAACTTGTTTGTGTTGATAATTTTTTTTTTTTTTACTTTTCTGTCCTTGTATGTTCAAGTTTGGTTGCGACGTTGACTTCTTGTCACATTCGCTCTATCGAGTTGTTGCAAGGGTGATGCTGGCGAGCTACGTCATTGTGTCCGACAGGCTTGTCGCGTTCAGCTAAACACAGTCGCAGTGAGCCCTCGGTTTGCTCATGGATGTGTACAGATGTGCTGTGGGTGTGTGTACGTGTGGGCATGAGTGTTTACCGAGGCGGCAGCAGCATGGGCAGTTTATTCAGCAGATGCAGGCATCCCCAGACTGATTGTGTAATCTCTGTGTTTACGTAAGGAAACCAAGTCTTCCAACTGTCAAAGTGTCTGGAGACTAATCCCCCAATGTCCACTTTCTTTTTGTCTGAGAACACAAACAAGGGCAAGTCTGGCATTGAAGTCATTTTCAATTTAACCTCTGGGATAGATCCCTCAGGTTTTTAGTTGGTGAATTAATGCTGATTTTCATCTTGGCTGCACAGAGCCAGTTGGAGGCTGTTGACTGGAGTTATTTTTATCTGCTCATTTTGCCTCTCGGCACATTGCACAAGCAGTTTTTAGCCCGAGCTCCCATTTTGAAAACATTCTAACCTGTCCTCTTCTCTTTTCTGATGACTGCAGGAAAGTCCCACCTCGCAGTGGTGCAGCGGGTGAACAGCGAAGGCGAGGGAGACCCCTTCTATGAAGTGATGGGCATCGTCACCCTTGAGGACGTTATAGAGGAGATCATCAAGTCTGAGATTGTGGATGAGACAGATCTGTACAGTATGTATAAACATAGTGTTTATGAAGCTCTGCATCAGGGCTATCTTATTGCTTCCAGCTCCCCTACTGAGAAGATTTTCGCTTAATTTATTGCAGCAGCTGTCACATTTTGTTCAGCTTTGTGCTCTCCAGCAGTCACTGGAAAATGCCCAGATAATCAGCATAAATTCCCATAACAGTTATTAGGACTGCAACTAATAATGCTGTAGTATGAATTGTGAATGGAATGGGAGTTTTTTGTGGTCCATCTACTTTGCTATTTTCCCGCTATTGGTTCCACCTTCTCTCCCCTGTTGTTCCCAGCTCCTTCCTAATTCTTAATTAAATAATGTGACTAAATGACCCAGTCTCTTCAGATAATCGCCATAATCCCCTTATTTTTTAATTGGCTGGAAACGCTCTCCACGGATTCAAATGAATTCAAATGCAAAGCTTCCTTCATTTCATATCTAGTCCAGTCTGCACGTGCTTTCGCTCACTGAATTTTAGTTTCCTTTGTTATTCTCCTGTACGTTTTCACAGCAGCCCCTGCTCTCAGAAGACATCAAGATATAATATGAGTGTGCTGCAGTTGAAATTGTATACAGTGTCTAAAGCAGTTTCTGTGAGTGGTGCACCTGTGTGTCTGCATATAATGTTTGCGTGTTTATATATAGCACGAGGGACCTAATCTCTTCGAGCTTTGTCATACAGTTTTTTCATGAACCCAGCTGTTCTAGAAATAATATTGTAGCAATAACGCATTTAATGAAAAATATATAAATATATATATATATAATACTCTGCAGAGGATAAGCCAATTTATCAGTCAGAGGTTACAGCACTGGATAATCTCCAGCTCTGTACAGCTTTAGATGAATATACTAAGCATGCAGGATATAGAAGTGCACCAATTAATTAGTGCCACATCAGAGTAGTTTCTAATTAATTATAGTGCAAACAAAAACATTGACCTCGCTCTGCATATATGGCACATTAAGTATTTAAACCTAATTAATGAGGTAAGAACTCTTTAGCTTCTCTAACCTATCATCAGAGAAAGTGCTACATTTTTTTACGCACTTTCTCGGATTTGTGTCTGTTCATAGCTGATAATCGCACAAAAAGGCGCGTGTCCAACCATGAAAGGAAACAGCAGGACTTCTCTATCTTCAAAGTGGCAGAAAATGAGCTGAAGGTGAAGATCTCGGCCCAACTGTTGCTTGCAACACACCGCTTTTTGGCTACAGGTAGCATTTGTGTGTTTGTCTCCATGAGCTGAATGCTAAGCATTTGGAAATAGCATGAGAACAAAGGCCGGGGGACGTGGTGTTTCTCCCTTGACTTGTGTTGTTTCACAACAGAGGTGGAGCCCTTCAGGCCGTGTCACCTGTCAGAAAAGATCTTGCTGCGGCTGATCAAACATCCCAGCGTTGTGCAGGAACTAAAGTTCGACCCCAAGAACAAGCACGCTCCTCAACACTACCTCTTCCAGAGAAACAAACCTGTTGACTACTTCATCCTGATCCTGCAGGTACTTCTAAACTGATAAAAAAAGGGTTTGAATAAGAATTAGGAAGCAAGCAACAATTATCTGTATGCTCAGCGTTGTTCTGGCAGTGAATTTGCATTTGAATGTGCATTTTTCCCTGCGTGGGACGCACCATTAGATGAGTAATCAATTGACTGTTCACATTATTAGCGCAGTGCTCAAACCTAATCCATGTAAATGGCTGTGTTAATCTTGCAGGGACGGGTGGAGGTGGAGATAGGAAAAGAGGCTCTTCGGTTTGAAAACGGAGCATTTTCCTACTATGGCATGCCAGCGCTCATCCCACCACTGCCTATTGGTAATTCACTGGAAATATGAAGCAATATGGATGAGTAATTTTGAAGGTTCTCGCATGATGAAAACATGCAATGCATTGGGGGAGGTGAAGTGTATTTCCTGCCTTAATGCCACCCTGTGTCTGTAAAGTGTCAGCCTGCTGAGCAGCAGCAGCCGTGGGAAGTAAGTAATTAAAAGAAGAGATTTCAGAGAATTTCCCAGTGGAAGGGCATGACCTGCACAGGATTATATGAAATCCAGCTAAGACTGCAGAGCAAGTAGAAAGCCTGTCTTTTGCTTTCTCTCCCTGGTTTCTTGTGGCGGTAGTGTGTACATTTTTTACGTGTGATGTTCAGGGTGAGTTTAAGCTATTTGCGAGACCTCATTAAAAATCTGAAAATCCCTACTTAGGACATTTCAGAATTTTCTCTCAAACAGCTGCACAATCATCACATCTCAAAAGAGCAGCTTTTTACAGTTTTTTTCTCTCTTTCTGACTCATCGCTCTGCATTGAACTGACAATTCATTTGCCATTTCACTAGACAGTGGTGAACACAAAAACAGGCAGAAAACAGTGTAGATGAATTAAAAGGACCTGCATGACCTTCCGTAAAGCATGCTCAGTTACTATTCGAATACAATTTTACTGCTCTCTTGTAAAGCAGGGGAGATATCTTCTTTTTAATTGCGAGGGAGTCACTCAAAATGCATTTGGGGTTCAAATATGACTTCATTTTCCGAGCATGAGGTAAAAGATGAGGGTGGCCAGTGCAGCATACGGCACCATGGAGGGTCCTGTTGGACCACTTCACCCACTGTGTGAGCAAAAGTTGCAGCACAAGGGCCCGGTTTTTGACTTTTGCCTGTATTTTTAAGTTGTTACACATGAATCACATCATGAGAACGATTGTTGACGCTTTTAATTTTTATCTGTGCCAGAAGTCTTTTTTAGCCTATTATATAGCCAAGGAGCTGAGCCAGTGTGTGTCTTTAATGTAGTGACAGCAGATTGATTAAATGTGGAAGACTGACATGCACTGTTGAGATTGTGCCTAATTTCACTTGACAGATTGCTGGTTATTCATCCTTTGTTTTGCATATGAATGGCTCATTAAACGAGGACCTTTTTAACACTGAAGGAAAGAGATTAAAAAAACATTATTATGCAATGGTTTTATTGTATAATGTTAGCTACAATTAAAGTACCTCAAGAATAACTAAAACTTGAAGGAGAGTTATGAGATTTGCTTAAATGAGCTTAAAAATATGACTCAAGACTTTTTCCTAACTGACAATTGAACATTTTGTTGAGGTATATAGAAGAAAAAGACATTATAACTTGGACTTGTTTGTGTGAACTCTTTATGCTTATTCTGGATAAGGATTTTGACCTTTACAAATGATGTATGTAGAAAAAAACAGACCTCAAAATATGTTTCCTTCTTCTGCTCTGTTCAGGTCAGAGGTATAGCTCCCGGGCCAGCAGCCTGAACCAGTCGGATTCATTACTGAGCGGAGGCAGTGTGGGTCAGCTCACTGCAGGTGGAGGGGTCTATTTACCCGACTACTCAGTCCGGCAGCTCGCAGACCTGCAGATCATCAAGGTTACAAACATAAACGGCTGCACACACATAACCCAGAAAAATATGAAGAAAACCACTGTTATTGTAGGCTAAATTAAATCTCTAATTTCCTGCGCACTGAAGGAAAAAATTGGGACCACAAAGGAAGAAAAATTTTAAGCTCCCTCCATTTAATCTTAAAATTTCCCAAAAATGCTTCCGCTGCTGCTGCTGGATTTGCCTTTGATATGTCCTGATCCCCGTTTCTGACTGAACACAGACATCCTGTCTCTAACTCTCCCACCACACAGCCTCTTTCCACTAATCACTGCGGATAATTGAGCCCCTTTTAAGCATGAATATCTTAACCTTAAATGATACATGTGCCCTCTCACTTCACCTCGCCTCCCTTTTCTTAAACACAGTGCACGCTTCCTCTCGGCCACATGCGCAACTCTTAACAGTGGCCGCACACACAGATCTAACGCTGATGATAATGGCAGATTTCTTGGCGGCCCACAGATCACTAGAAACCACTACCACAACGCCCTAACGGCCACCAGGATGGACAGCAGCCCACAGACACCAGAAGCGGTGGACCCTGATGGCAAAGGGAGGCCTCCGGTCCCAGAGGCCCGCTCACACAGCATTGCCCTCCCCCTCACGCACACACACACTCGACTGGGACTGGCACGCCTTGCACATCTCCATCCCCATGGTGGCCTTCGCAGCACCTCGCAGCTCAATGAAAGAAACCGTATTGTTCGTAAGTAATATAGATGCCTTTATTTAACAAGAAGTCAACTAAAAACTGTAATTTGTTCATGAGCTTTTTCTCAGGCAGCACCAGGTTTTTACACCACCTAAACTTGAAGTATGAGGAATTTCCTTGTGTTGGTCAAATTTTCTTTCAAAGAGGAAAACAAGCTTTAAATGCACAAATTGAAGTTTGTGCATCTGAAAGCAGGGATAGAGAATTTAAAAGAAACACCATTGATTCATTTAACTATTTTAAACAAACATAATGATGGCCCGTGATGTGGAAACACAGCTTGATGTTCCCCATGTTGTTATTTGAAGATGAACTATTCTGTAATAATTATGGCAAAACTAAGAAATTAAATGAAATCAGCTGCTTATAATAATAAAAATTTCATCCTCTAATCTTACCCTACTTGTTCATAAGTATGCATGTGTGAAATCAGCACATAACTTGGAACAAATAGTTTATTTTATACAGTACAAAGACTTCTGTCCCCACACCACTGCAGTGGACTGTAAGTCAACATGTGATTGAACTGCAGACTTTCAACTTCACTTCAAGAGGTTTTACAAAACGTGTGCACAAACTGTTTAAGAATTGCAGGCATTTGTATATACACTTTCCCAATTTCAGAGGTTCAAAACTAATGGGACATGCTGAAATAAATTGAAAGATGTTTTTAATACTTGAAAAATGAAAAAACTTGGCTGCCTAGAACACACCAAACATTACCAAATGTTGTGTTTGCTCCCTTGAGATTCTCTGCCAGGCCATTTCTGCAGCCGGTTGTTGTTTGTTTGTGGGTCATTCTGCATTCATCACGCACTGATGAGTTGAGATCAGCTGACTGACTTGGCTGTCGAAGACTATCTAATTTCTTCACCTGGAGAATGCCACACTGTTGCTTTTGCACATAATGAGCAGATAAACAGTGTGGCATGCTCTGGATCACAAGCCTTTTCTCTCCTTCTCCACATTTTTCTCTTCCCACCATAATCATACAAGTTCATCTTGTTTTCCTCTGGTTGAGTGATTTTTTTTTCAGCATAGTGCCGGCTCTTTTAGAGGTTTTTTGGCAAAATCGAATCTGATCTTTCTATTCTGGAATGTAAACGATGCTTTGCACCTTGTTGTAAACCCTTGAATTTCCATTCATGAACATTCATGTCTCTTGATTGTAGGCTTTGACAGTGATACAAAACCTCCTCGAGAGAGTTTTTGACTTGGTTAAATGATGTAAAGTTGTTCTTCAGCTAGGCCTTTTGGTGTTGCTGAGGTTACCAGTGCATTCACTCTGTTTAAGAATGTGTCAGATTGTTGCTTTTACCGTCTCTGTGAGGTTTTTACTGTCTCTAATGATGCCAAATGATAGTGTTTTTTACTTGCATTAACATTTCATTGGGCCTCATATTTAAAATCTGAGAAAAATTATAATGAAAAGCTATAATACAGAAATTCAACACTTTGAATCGGCTTCATTTGTCATGAAGTAGCAAAGAAGCAGGTCTCATAAATGCTTTGAAACTACTGGTCAGTCAGTTTTCCAGTTAATTTTGAACCTTTAAAAATGGGAGACGTGTATAAAAATACCTGCAATATTTAAACAGTTCATGCTAAAAAATTTTGTAAAACCACTTGAAATAGAGCTGAAAGTCTGCACTTCAGTCACATATTGCTAGTTTGATTTGCAATTCACTGTGGCGGCATACAGATGCAAAACAACATAAACTTATGTCTTTGTGCAACATATTTATGGAGGGCACTGACAGACGTAAAGAATGACTCACAAACGGCAAATATTCAAAATGACTCAGTCATTTAAATGTGACATCAACCAATCTGTACTTGTTTCGAAGCTTAAAGGGGTCCCACATACCATCTGTCTTATGCAGTGTGTAGCCCCTCACCCACTTTTGTGTGCTTGTTAGTTCCATTAAGAAATGTTGCGGACAGATGTCTCCACTCTGGTTGTCAAAAAAAAAAAAGTGTTTACAGCTTTAAATTACCATGTAAGAATTAAACCCCCTCTGTTAGTTGTAGGTCCTCTTTTTTACTTTTAATCCTACACTGGGTACTATTTTTAATATTCAGCCTCTTTGTTGGAGGCCCCCAAAACACTTAAATAATACTAAGCTCTCTAGCTCCCTCTTCAGGTAGAGTTACAAATATGCTGCTTCTTGTTTTTGGTGGTTTACTTTTTTATTTATTTTACAGGCAGTAAATCCGATGGGCAGAGAAGTCCAAATGATACCGTGTTCCTTCGCATGGATGAGATTCCCTATATCCATGAGGACCGGCCAGAAAGTCATGGAGAGGATGGTGAGTGCTGCTCGATACAGCCAACAATCAAACATTTAATTTTTTTATCTTCAAATGAAAAAAAAAAAGTTTCCAGAAAACGTTTTTATTTTTCATAAGTAAAGAGATACATTCACTGGTCACTTTATTAGATACACCTGTTTTTGTTTAACACAAATATTTTTTCATGTAGCAGTAATTAGGCATGTAGACAATGTCTGGACAACCTGAGCATCAGAATTGGGAAGAGAGGTGACTTGTGTAGCATTGTTGTTGGTGCCAGAAACTGCTGATCCCCTGGAATTTTCCTACACAACCATGAATGATGATGAATGATCAGAAAAAGAGAAAACATTCAGTGAGCGATGATTCTCTGGGAGAAAATGCCTAGTTGATGTCAGAGTTCAGAGGAGAATGGCCGGGCCCCTTAGTACCAACGTTTATAGGATAATGTGACATGTCACAAATCTCAAATGATGTCAGACTGTTCTACTGAACATGACAGTGAGTTCACTGTACCCAAATGGCCAGCATAGAGCTGAATCCAATAGAGGTCCATTTGGATGTGATGGAATGGGAGATTCCTATTGTGGATGTGGAGTCAACAAATCTGCAGCAACTGGGTGGTGTAATCGTGATCATTCCATAAAGAATTAAGGCAGTTCTGAAGGCAAAAGGGGGTCCAACATGGTACTAAGGGTACCTAGTAAAGTGGCCAGAGAGTGAATATAGCTCTGTATTTCATGGTTTTCAAGCTGTGGAGGATGTGTTCATTTTTTTACTTACGTCACAAGTTAAGGAATCTCGGTTTAAAGCTACACTACAAAAACTTTTGCAGAACTTGTCACCTAGTGTGGGCCGTGTATCTACGTAGCACCCCCCTCCCTTTCACTCTCTAACTTTCTCCTTCAAATGTGCCTACAGAGTCTCAGCCATCCACCTCTCCCTTCATAAGCTCTTTGTCTCTGTCCAGCTCTGAGGAGAACATTGGCAAGAAGCTATTGCGTAAATTGAGTGAGTAAGCCATTTGTCATGAACACTAATGCGACAGCACTCCCACACACACTGTCAGATGTGCCCCAACTTTTCTGTCAGACATAGCGATGGTGCCGAGTGTATCTTAGCAACAGGTGATGAGCTACGTCTTTCACAACAGCCTGCTGCTTCCTGCATAGCTCATTCTCCAGATGCAACTATGCCATTCTGGATTACATACAATATAACACAGTTACTTTTATCTATTTATTTGAGGCTGTAGCTCTGCTGAACTGTACATCTGATGTTATATCAGTTTGTGACAAGTTTAATTTAAAAGTAGTACAAGTATCATGCTTTTGGTCTTTATAAAAATGAGAGTTGCTGCATTTTCACAACATGTTCTCATCTGTTTCTAGGTAACAAGAGGAGGAAAAAGTCTCGGGATGGAGAAAACAGTTTGGAGGAAGGTTCAGAGCAACAGCCAGTGACGAGCTAGCACAGTGGCATGTAGGAAGAGAGATGACGCACACATCCTCTTCCTCTTTATCATTCACAAGATTAACTACATTAACTACAAACTCTTCGTATACCCCCTTCAACTCTCAGGATACTGAGCCATCTTATCTGCTGTAGCCATCAGAAATACTCAGGTCCCACCCTGGCCCACTTGATGTATAAAGCATGATTGGACGGATCTAAACAGTAGTATTTGAGTTATCCAGCTTTGCACCAGTGCATCTTTTGTAGTTACTGGCACATCCTTCTTTTATTTGTTAGCTCTATCCACAAGGTTAACATTTATTCATAACATTTAAACTGTAACTTGTTTTTGAATTTTGTCACTATAAACCCAACGAGGGCCTTAGATAGTATCTGAGCCAGCTGATACACTGATATTTATTATTGAGTTGTCATGTTAACAAGGCAGTTTCCACATACTGTACTGAAACCACTGTTTGCACAGGGAACTGTCCTAATGTTGCCATAAGGCTGCCACCTACTGCCACACAACCCAACACACACTAACCAGTGGCAGAAATAGAAAGCCAAACAATAAGAGCACAACTTTTTTTTAAGAGAAACATTGTAACTATATACCTATATTTAAAAAAAAAAAGCCACCAATTAATCCTCAGCTTGAAAGACTACTTGTTGTATTCAGTGACTCAGTAACGTTAGAGGGTTATAGTCATATACCCGAGTTTTTATATGGAAGTGTGAGGAAAGTAATTTAAAGATAGCAATATCAAGTCCTCCTAAATACTGTAAATCGCTTGGACTTATCACTGCACTCCACGTTCATTCATAAAATTCATAAATGTAGCTGTACAGACACACCTTACGTGTTTCTATCAAGCAACCACCATTCCACCTTTTTCCCTCGGTGTCTTCATATTTTAGATAAACAGTCATTAATCTGTTGTTTGATTGCATTCAGTAGAACACATTGTCTTTTGTGCATTTCATAGGGAGCATAGAAAGCTGTCTATGTATAGTTCATTTCGCACAGGGTCACTCACTAAAGCTGCACACACCAATTAAAAATAAGCTAGGGGTTTATGGGATTTGGATCTTTGGGTTTGGGGATCCAGATGAACATTAGGGGCATTACTGAAGAAGAAGTTGCTACTTGCATGTTTCTCTGTGCTGCTTTTACTATAGAATTACCCCCTGCTTTTCCATATGCATGACTACGATGCATGACTAGGCTGCAGTACGTTCTCAGTGCTGAGGCGCTGTTTGACTTTCCTGAATCCTAAGTAGATTTTAAGATGGCTTACACATAGGCAGCAGACATCGGGTTTTAATTGCTAAAGTTGAAAAGAATCAGCAAATGCTGCCAGCTAATGGAGAAGCACAAAACAAGGCTGCAGACTTCATCGAAGGTTCCGCTTTAACAGCTACTAATGATGTACACGGGGATTGGGGAATTCAGAGGAAGCACGAGAAGGCTTCTCAAGAAGGAACATTTTAATAAGAAACAGGAAATAATCTCCTACTGCAATAGTAAACAAATTGATTCTATTTAAATTGGGAGTTAGTCCCCCAGTGGACTACGCTGATCTCTTTTCTTGAAATCTTGAACCTGAACAGAGGGAGATTTGCCTGACGAAAGCAATATGACATACACTGACGTCAAGCCACCGCCTCTTTTCAAATGCACACAAAGGTGGTGTTCTGGTACGCTCAGTGATTTAATTCAATCTGCCTGGTAAGGCTAAGTACAAAGGTTATTGCACTGCTAAGGTTTTTACAATGACCCCGCTGTACCAAACACGTGGGGGGAGTGTGTTTTGATCCGTTGACTCTAAGTGTAAATCTGGAACTTTAAGGGCGAGGCTTTTACAGAATTTGCAGTTGGTTTTCACCTCTTTATATTTGTAAGGATTGATGTAGTGTTTGTTTGGGGTAAACTAACAAAGATACATTTTGTAATGCAAAATTCAGAAGAATATATTAGCAACCCAGAGATATCAAGAAATGGATCAATCATTCTACACAAGGGTAAATTAATTTATTAATAAATCTACTGGAGTATTGCTCTTGTCTGCTTCATTTGTCTTCATCTGCAGCGCCTGCTAAAGGTCGGTGCTTATATGCAAACACTGTCACTCAGTTTCACACACATCTGTTTGACAGTTTTTTATTGAAGTAGTTCATTCATTTGATCAGAATGTCTGAGGACATTTTCATTGCTAAACAATACGTCTGTTTCGTAAATGCCCTGCGTAGTAGTGCGACAGCAACCTGGTTGATCATTAGTTTGTTTGTGCTGTGACAAACGAATGTTGCGTAACGGTGCCCGGCTGCTATGAAGAGTCAACATCCACTGGCAGGTACCTGACAGAACCAGAAACATCAAAACCCTTCAGCATGCAGTGACGACCCCAGGTTCATGACACCTGTTCAGAACGCTCAGTGTCATTTGTGCTCACTGAATGTCAGCTGGAAGCAAAAAACAGACTCTACAAATACAGATTAAATGTGAGGTCATTAGCATAGAGCCTTATCATGAATATGATTACATAGTTCAGGCTTAAATCCTCCTTAGAACATTTGTTCACATTTAATCTAGAAATGACAAACACTGCCTCTTTACTCTTCATTCATCGTCGGGGTGGTAAACACAAATATACAGATTAGTATCGTATAGTATAGTATGGCAAGGCTGGGATGGTCAATTTGGTAAAGTAAATCCGTCTTTCTTCGCCTTTAGACAATAATTCTGATGGCAAAAGAGCCAAACGGGACAGGCAAAAAGAAAAAAAAAATATACAGATTAGTCATGTTAATATTCTCTTTTTCTCATTCCCCTTAACAACTCTTACTGCTGTCCACACAAATACTTATATTTCACACTTTGAATGGATGAGTCATGAACAGTATAACATTTTTAGACTGTAGAGTCAGCCCTGCTGAGGAACCGTAATACAGCCACAGACTTGCTTCTAATGATGCATAAAACTTGAAATACCAAACACATATTTTGAGCTACAAACAATACATTGGGGACTAAGATAAGGCTGAAAAATTATGAACACAATTACATAAGTACTCCAGAGTTTGGAAAATTGTGGCTCTTAAAAAAGATCCAAACGATCTTTATGCAGTCTATAGAGAACTTGGTCCCAGCATGCATTTAGCCTAGCATAGCACAAATACTGAAAAAGAATGAGAAACCAGGGGCCTGTGGGCTCTCTGTCCACGTGAGAATTTGTATTTGCTCCAGAAAAATCTGGAAACCTGGATGCAAACACATTCCCTGTGATCATGATGGATCAGAAATGCAGCAGGAAGTGGTGAGAATTGGAGATATGGTGCCGTTCTTCTACTGGACCTTGGTGACGGCCTCGTGGATGGACTCGGCCACGTAGTCGATGTTCTTGGTGGTTAAACCGCACATGTTGATGCGACTGCTCGCCATTAAGTAGATATGCTTCTCCTTCACCAAATATTCCACTTGTTTGGCTGCAGGAAAATCATCAGATACTGGTTTAAGTTTTACTGACTGTGCTTGAATCTTTTTAAGATCTTTTTAAAATTGAAGCCCCAAAAACTAAAACAACTTGGATGCCATGAAATTGTTTGTTAAACTGACCAGTGGAATGTGCATTTTTACAGAGCTGTGATTGTGTGCAGAAGGAAGTGATTGCTGTACTCACGGTTGAGGCCTGTGAAGCTAAACATGCCAATCTGGTTTGTGATGTGGTCCCAGGTCCCTGGTGTCCCCAAAGCTTGGAGCTTAGCTTTCAGCTGAGACCTCATCAGCAAGACCCTGTTAGCCATGGTCTTCACATTCTCTTGCCTAAAGTCAGAGAATGAAAACACTCTGCATGTCTGATATCGACTGCTTTTTAATATTGCCTCATGCACAGGTATGAGTTATCTTTTAATGATGCTATTTTACACTTACCATTCACTAAAAAGCTCAGGTGAGGTAAGAGTGATGGTGACAATGCGAGCTCCCTGAGACGGTGGGTTGGACCAGGTGATCCTGACAATCTTCTCCATCTGGGAGAGAACTCGTTTCAGTTTATCTGCATCGCGAGCCACAACGGTCAGGTTGCCCACACGCTCGTCTGATGGGACAAAAACACGTCACAGTTAAACAATACAGCAGCTAATACCTATTACTTGATGTGTAGGTGCAGTATCTGATAAACAGTTCCTCCTCTGGTGAATCTGAGACTTGCTTAATTTGAATTTTGTGACTATTCCTTTCAATTTAACAGAGTTTTTGATGTATTCTGTGCACATTATACTCAGCATAATCTGAAAATAAGACCGATGTATATTAAGATTACTCTTCCTGCAAAGTTTAATCCCTGCAGTTGATTTAGCTTGGGATTTTCTGTAGATTCATACCAAGCACACTTTACACACAGGATCACTCACTGTAGAGTCCGAAGTTCTTGGAGAACGACTGGGCACAGAACATTTCAAAGCCCGATGAAACAAAGTAGCGCACCGCCCAGGCATCTTTCTCCAGACTACCTGAGGCGAATCCCTGATAAGCCGAGTCAAAGAACGCAAACAGCTTCCTCCTCTGGGAGAGAACCGGATACAAGATCAAAGGGTTATCATACTGAGATAAACACTGTGCATGCAAAATAATATCCTGTTTAAAATGACACCCTTTGCCAGTAGTGGCAGTTCAGACCACAGTACAGACAATTTGTATATGTTTGCATGCACTTTATACGCATGTTACCATCATAACTTCAGCGATTTGTTTCCACTGCTCCTGCGTGGGGTCTGTGCCTGTCGGATTATGGGCACAAGCATGCAGGACAAAGACTGAGTGCTCTGGACAACTCTGTGGGAAACGGGGATATGAAGAAGCAATGTGAAACCCAGAAGACCAAAATGTAGTAATGAGTGAACAGTATGCTGTCACGCAGTACTTACTTCCAAGTCACCAAGGAAGCCAGCCAAATCAAGGCCTCTTTTTTCCGCGTCCCAGTACCTGTACGGACGAACATCCTCGAAGCCAGCGCTGCTGAACACAGCATTGTGATTTTCTGAGAAAAACAGTAAGAAAAACTCTGAGGGCAGCGTTCGATTTTTATCATTGCTTTCTTTAGATAAAAGAGTGAATAATGCTTTTTTAAATACTCCTCACATCCGACCTGACAATACAGCCAAGCTCACTGATAACATGCCGCTGTAACAGGACATTTATCAATAGAACACTTTATCAACAACTACAGTTTAAAGTCTGGGGAAAGTTCACAAAACAATTAAAGTCCTCTACAGGTGTGTGCTACTTCACTGCTTGTTTGTGTGTGTGTGCTTGAATGTACCCCAGGTAGGTGCAGACACATAGATGGGTGTTTTGGTGTTGTTGCTCCCATTGTAGAACCGCCTTAGAAACTCTGCGCCTATCTTCAGAGCACCTGTACCACCCAGACACTGGACAGCCCCGACCTGGCAGTGACATTCGAACAGTCAGTTTAAATGTAACAACATTAGAAATTCAAAGAGTGTCGTTTGGCTTTTGACTCCACAAACCCTGTTTTCCTGGATGGCAGGGCTGTTGTCTCCCAGTACTATTTTGGAGGCTGAGGATCTGAACTCAGGCAGGCCCAGGATGGGCAGGTACTCGTGGTTTAGCCTGTCATCATGCACAATGATCTTCTCCACTTTTTTCACCACCGGCAAAACCCAGGGCTGGCCTTCATCTGTCCGATAGGCTGCAAGGAACAATGCGATTTAATGTTACAGAAAAAAGTGAAAGAATGGCTTAATATAGTAGGAAGCGGCCCTTCCCTCCTGCATTGATATGTTGTTTTTTTAGTGAGTTTTAAGCAAAAAGAAACCTCTAAGTAAGATTAAATATAACATTCCTTAAACACATTTCAATTGCTCAGTAAACAGATACAGCAGACAAAAGTGGTTAACTTGCGAGCTTAACACCTGTACCTTGGTAAGCCTGATGTTTGTGACTTTATGGGACTCTTGAGTCATAACAAAAGTGCAAAGATCACAGGGTTTTGTGACAGGCGCACTTTCAATATCTGTTAGGTGATTTAGCCAGATGATGTCGACGATCGACCTTTTTCTCTCTGTTATGTCCACTAGCTGGAAAGGCACTGATTATCTGTAATAATACATCTAAATTAAGATCTAGGGCCGGAACTAATGACGACAACACTGAAAAGTCACAGAAAAGTAGAAAATCCTTACAGTCAAGGATCTTTTTCAGATCTCTGTGTTTTTTTAGGTAGAGAGAAATGTGTGGCCTACATTTCCCAGCTGCCATGTATCAGCTGACCATCTGGAGAAAGAAAGGGATTACGAGGCCTCGGCCTCCTCTGCTAATCACAGGACTCAGGTATCCTTGTCCTGCCAAAACAGAGCTAAGCGATCAACGCTTCTCACACTGTTCCTGTGCAATGCAAGCAGCGAAGAAATGACTCCTTGCAGAGAGGTTAGCACAGAAAACAGCTGCTCTCAAGGACGAAATGTGGCAGTGGTTTGTTTCGGAGCGAAGCATGACTGAGCTGTAATAAATTTAAACTCCTGCTTGTTCTTGTGTAATGACAGAACAGTAATCCAATCAGCTGCCTGGTCTGCTGAGTGCAGGATAGCAGAGGACAGAGATGATTCAGCTCTCAGTGTCACACTAATTGCAGAAGAAAGATATATTATCAACAGAGCTGCAATCAGTAGTTGGTGGGTGTGTGATGACTGAGCAGCCTGTAGCGAGGCCAGATTAACGGATACCCACAGTCTCTATGTTAATCCGAAAATGAATTTAAGCAATAGCAATAATTACAGCACAGGTGAGCCATCACCATTCTGGACTGCCTGGTGTACTAAACTGATTAAAGCTACATCTAGATAGCCTCTGTTTAGATTTTACAGCTCAGATACCAGTCAGCAGGCTGTTTTAACTATTGCTGTGCTTAGTTTGAGGCTAACAGTCAACTTTGTGTCACTTTCTGATTATAATGACAACAACTTGTTAGAAATTCATATGAGGGCACCATCATACAAACATAGATGAACTCGGTGTAAGACAGGCTGGAGAACTTTTCCCCTCCGGGATACAATGAATGACAGCAATGCACAACTTACCTCCTACTCCGAGGTTCACCTTATTTGGAAACTGGTCGTTATTGAAATCCTGCGTCAACTTGAAGACAGCCACGGGGGCAGCCTGGGGGACTTCAGAAAACAGCGACATTTTTAAAAAAAATATATATATTTATTTTTTTGTTTACTTTTTTTGCACTGTGAGAGGCTGCGGCAGCACGAAGAGACGAGCTGTCACTTGATCAGCTGGCTGAGCGGGATGATGGAAGACTTTCACCTTCAACTTGGATTTGGTCACTGCAAAGTGGGTGTGAGTGGATTTACCAATAGAAATCGCTCTCGGCGTTGATCCCTGTCAGTTCAAAGGTCAATTAAACAAACGCACAGGCGCTGTTGCCCAATGAACGCCGCGGAAAGGGGATTGACAAATCCTCTAGCTAATGTGTGGGGTTGAGGAAGCGTCACTGCGAGTGGGCGGTGCATGAGATTAGCGCATTTAATTTCTACGCCACAAGGTGGTGCTACAAACCTGCTTTAAAGCTCATATCTAGCGCATCTAACCAGAGCTTTAGTTGGCGTGACTTGGTACTGAAAGAATTCTTCCATTAATAAATAATAGAACACAAATTCAAAGGTCCGAGCTCACAGATTGATTGCTGTATCATCGTCATCATAAATGTAAATACGAACGCCGGCTGATCAGACAGCTATCACGCTTAGGTCACCACGCTCTGCAGACGAATATGTGCAAGTGTCCTAATCTGTTCTGTCCTGAGGGCCTCGGCTGAGCTGTGGTGTAAACACACTGGCTCCTCTGTGCTCTCCCCACAGCTGTCTGCAGGAGCTGAAGTGGTTGATAAATGAAGGCCACTCCAGCCTGCTCTCCCGGACCAGGAGGGCGACTTTGTGAGAAGACAAGACTTAGTTATGTTTTCTGTCTGGTATAATAAGAGTGCAGTTGCATGGCTCAACTTTAGTTTTTGTAGTTCAAAAGTTTCGCATTATGACAAATGATGGGTTATAAAGGTTTATGTGGGGTGAAATTAAATACACATATTTGTCTAGTGCTGAAGTGCTGGCTTTGAGTGTTTTCATGCTACTTACATTTTTTAAAATAAATTATTTTTATTTTTTCTATTTTGTTCAACTGTAAGCCATTTTTAACATATCTAATTAAAAGTACTTGTGAAGATTAGATTTAAAACATGAACAATACAATCAGATTTTCCCATGCACTGATGGACTGTTATAGTTTAAAATGCTGATTAGAGTACAAAATACAATTTAGCTCCACTTTCTGCATGGACTACATAAAAATCACACTTACATGTCCTGGATAATAATTTGCGGTGTGCAATAATTTGCACAAAACATATTTTAAGGAAATATATTTTTAACATTAATTTCTAGATTAGGAATATTTCTCTTCTCACATTAACAAGTGTGCATTTTAGCCTTTTTTGCAAAGGCATCCATACTATATTTGTAACAAGAAGTAACAAGAAGTATTTTGTGACAAACCAGTTATGTTGGTAATCTTATTGTAAGGAGAAGTTATATGTCATTAATTGCTGTTAATGTCTCTGACAGATAAAGAAACAGAGAACACCACATGGACCAAGCCGATGTAGTTAAGACTGTGCTTATTATATTTCTATACTACCATTGGCTCAAATGACACCACCAAATCTGAAGCAGCTCACTTATAGCGATAAATGCACTGAGAACTGTCATCCTACACCAGTTCTTCGTTTATCTTTGTTTTGCTCCTGCAGCTTTGCTCTTTTTATTCAGTCCCAGGCCCATCTGCCTTGATTTTAGCTGCAGCAGGATATCTTCACTAAGAGGTTCTTACAAATCTCTTGCAAAATATTTGCCCAGCACTAAACAGAAGACAGACAGAGTTGGCAATGGGTATAATGAAACGTAATTGCTGTAGATGATTTCCCCCCTCCCAGTACTTAGTGGAGACCACGAAAATAGAACGGGATTAAATACAAGCAGCAGAAATTTATTGTTATCATTAAATCATGTGATAAATATGTGCACAGGTGTAAATAGTCTTAAATATATATTGCTATAAGCTGATAATATACTGATATTATTTTTAAATATTGCTTCTGTTCCTACGGTTAACCAGGAAAAAATGCTTTAAAAAATGTTTGTGGAATCCATCTATTCACGGCATTCATGCTTTATGATTCAGAGAAGCACTACTATAGACAACCTTTTAGGTGGAGCAGTGGTTAGCTCTGTCTCCTCACATCGAGAAGGACTCTAGATTTGAACTTGCAGAGGCCTTGCTGTGTTTTAGTTTGCATGCTGTCCTTGTGCTTTTGTGGGTACAAGAAGCACTGTGGGTGCTCCAGACAATTCCCAAGTATTTGTCTGGATTCTTGCATCCAGAGAAACTGAATCAACGTTCTGCAACACTGTAAGCATTCCTCCTTATACAAATGCATGGCTGTTATATTAATTAAGTGTGAATATGAAGTAATGTTTTTGGATATACATTTGTCAAATTTATTTTCACAATCTTCACCTCCCACCCTACCCCTCCGAAAAAAAAAAAAAATAAGATAATGATAATAACTAGCAACAAAGTCTAACTTCTGATCTTTCAGCCATGGACAAATCATTATTTAAGCCTTTTTATATCTTTGGTTAAGCCTTATGAACCCCTTACAAAAACATACCTAGCTAAAGTGCTACAGTTAATCCCACACCTTGCTATCACACAACACCCAGTTACTATTTTCCCCAGTGTTTTGTCCCACATGTTGCTAACTTTCCTCACCACTTGGTCCCACCCCCACTCATCTCCTCACTTCACGCTGACAGTAGATGTTTTCATTCTTTCCAACCAGGTGAGGGTGTCTCGTATGTTAGCTATCACTGTCAGCTCTGCAATTATGGGATTTGAGCTCCCAGAACAAGGCTTGGGGGCCTGGGGCGGGGCTCAGTGTGTGCATACAGAGGAGGCCCAGGGCCACGATCTGGGCTGTGATGTGAAGCGTGAGTCAGAGCAGGGAGTGACAGAAGTAGCCTCTGGCAAGACAGTTTCTCCAAAGAGAGTGTGTCACAGCTAGATCGATCAATTACTCAGCCCAACATTCACCGGCACTTTCTCTGCATTTCCCTGAGAAGGAAACACGGAACATTTGTTTTGGCATCCAGCAAAGTAACACAAATATGACAAAAACGTCAAAGTGTGAATGGGGTTTTGTTTAATCTGATTTTTTTTTCTCTTTAAAATTTTGCATGCAGGTGATCAGCGCTGCTTATAGGAAGTTGACACACAAACACACAAAGGCACACATTCAGGCACAAGACAGTCACATTCCAGCTGCGGTATCACAGAAACACAAACAAGAGCGTGTGCGCACACACCGCTGTGCATTCCTAGGGCAAAGTTTCAGCGCCGTTCACATGTTGCTCTGGCCCCGGTGTCTCTGGGTCAGAGAGCTGTGGTGAGTGACCACCTTTTTAGCTTCCCGCCTTGTTTGTTTTCTAAAGACAGTGTCATCAATTCTCTAACAAGGAACTAGACACAGCAACAACAAAGAGCACAGGACCTCCCTGTTGCTCCCTGAGCGGATCAGTGACTGACGGACCGTGCATGCAGTAATAGATATCAGTAATCTCTGTGTCAGACTACATTCCAACCAGAGTGCATGAGCGTTTGTCTGTGCAAGTTTAGGTTGCAAATGTCTTTTGTGCTCCATTTAATATCATGACATAAAATCTCCTTTTTTTTTTGTGCATGCAGATTTCTACCCTGCTGACAAAAGATGACAACTGGACTCAGTGAACTACCGTAGTATGAGCCAAGAATACATCCAAGTGCAAACTTAGTTGAATTGTACTGGAAGATGCAAAATCTCAGACATCTCATGCCTAATATTGCTTTGACGGGGTCTGTATGTTCCACAAGTTCAAATGTATGGAGCCCACAGTTAAAAACATGGAGGCAAAAAGTAAACTCACTGACATAAGGGCTACACACCATTGGAAGAAGCCTGACAATTTAAGACTGCATGTGCCACTCACGCAAAATAAAACAACACCTAAGCACTATATTGAGCATATTTCAGATGGATAAGATGATATATAGTCCTCTTGCACCTGACAATGCAGAAAAGGGCAAACTGCCAGTAGTTAGCTTAACACAACTGCTAGAAACAGATAATAAGATACAGGAAGTCCTATATTTACTTTTACATAACATTCTCCTGAAATTTGTCTTAATTAATCAAACATTTCCAAAAATACAGAGGTAAATTAAAACAAACCATTAAAATGCCTTAGCTGTTTTGCTTGAGTATAAGTTGGTATGTATACATTCACATACAGTGAATAAGAAAGTGTACACAGGGCAGTATGCAGTCTTGTGAAACATTCAGAGAAACTACAGACAAACTAGAAAGCTACATCTCAGACTCTACAGACCTTAATTAGCATGTTAAATGTCACAATTACGACAGTACAATTATGAAAAGACTGAATGTGTATGGCTTATTTGGAAGAGTTTCCTCTTTCTAAAAAAGGACACGGCAGGTTTACAAAGTTGGAGCTTGCACTCATTGAGTCGACATTGAACCCCTCTGAATAGCAAAGTATTGTAGAAACAAATGTGAGGCCATCTGTCTAAAAGCTAAAGCTTCGCTAAAACTGGGTCATACAACAAGACAGTGATTCCCGGCACAGCAGCAAATCCACAGCAGAATGGATGAAGAAAAAAAAAAATAAATCAAGGCGTTGCAATGGCCCAGTCAAAGTCCTGACTTCACCCTGATTGAAATACTATAGGGGGATGTGCATAAATAAATGCCCACAAACATGAACTGAAGCAATAATGTAAAAAAAGAGTGGGCCAATATTCCTTCTTAGCGATGTGAGAGACTGATAAAGTTAAACAGAAAATTATAACTTCGAGTTACTGCTTCTAAAGGTAGCTACTGAATCATTGGGTGTACTTTTTAACAGGACTGCATTTGGACTTTGAAGGAATATTAAAAATGGTTGTGTCTCATTGTTTTTCGCTGATGTGGCCTTCAAGCTGGGTGGAACCTCAAACACAAGGTCTACGTTGTGTCGTTCCACTTGATTGATTTTGTCTTTTTACCAACTTAGGCACTTTGGCTTTATACAAATATGCATGCTAAGACACAAAGACAGGAAGTGGAAGACGTTTTTTTTTTTTTTAACCCAAAGTACTTGCTTTTTTGTCTGCATTAGGTAAAGAGACACAAATATGATAAGTGACAAAGGAAACAAACTTTATCTTTCATGACTTCTA